AAAAAAATTCTGCTTCATTGAAGGTTCACAGAAGCATGTAGTCTCTGTTACCCTTAATGGAAGAAGTTTGAAACAACCTGGAGCTGGCCTCCTGGCCAAACTGAGCAATTGATGGAGAAGGGCTTTGGTTAGTGTGGTGACCAAGAACCTGATGGTCACTCTACTTGAGCTCCGTGATCATATGTGGAGATAGGAGAAACCTACAGAAGAACAAACATCGCTGCAGCACTCCACCGATCTGGGCTTTATGGCGGTGTGGTCAAACTCAATCACTTGGAATTTACAAAAAAGCACCTAAAGGACCTCAGACTCTGAGAAACAGGATTCTCTGGTCTGATGAACCTCAATTCTAAGCATCATGTTTAAAGGAAACCAAGCACTGTTCATCACCTGCAGAGTACCATCCCAAAAGTAAAGTGTGCTGGTAGCAGCCTCATGCTGTGGGGCTGTTTTTCAGCGGCAGGGACTGAGGGACTCGTCAGAGTAGAAGGCTTGAGAGGGGAAGAGGTGAGGAGAAGAACGGCAGATAATTGCCAAATGCTGATGTGCAAAGCTTGTCGCATCATACCCAAAAAGACTTGAGGCTGTTAAGGTTCATCAGCTAAATATTTAGTAAAGGGTATGAATACTTATGCAATGTACTTATTTCAACTTTTTATTTTTAATAAATTTACGAAGTTGTGACAGTTCTGTTTTTGCTTTGTCATTATGGTGTATGGAGTGTAGATTAATGTGGGGGGAAAAAAGTAATTTAAAGCAGTTTAACTTCAGGCAGCAACATAACAAAATGTGAAAAAAATGAAGGGGTATGAATACTTTCGCAAGGCACTGTAGCTATCCATTCATCATATTTAACCATATATCATCCATCCATCATATCTAACTACCCACAAATCATATCTAACAATCCACAAATCATATCTAACATCCATGAATCATTTCTAATCACCCATTTATCATATCTAACTATCCACCAATCATATCTAACATCAACAAATCATATCTAACCATCCACTAATCATATCCAACCATCCAAGAATCATATCTAACCATCCACTAATCATATCTAACCATCCACGAATCATATCTAACATCCACATGTCATATCTAACATCCATGAATCATATCTAATCACCCATTAATCATATCTAACATCCATTAATCATTTCTAATCACCCATGTATCATATCTAAATATCCACCAATCATATCTAACCATCCATGAATCATATCTAACATCAACAAATCATATCTAACCATCCACTAATCATATCTAACCATCCATGAATCATATCTAACATCCACTAATCATATCTAACCATCCACTAATCATATCTAACCATCCACAAATCATATATATCAATCCACAAATCATATCTAAAATCCACAAATCTCATATACCATCTATGAATCATATCTAACAATGAATCATATCTAACATCCATGTATCATATTTCACCAGCCATTCATCATCATATCTAACCACCCATGAATCATATCTACAGATCCATGAAATATTTACCATCCATTCATCATATCTAACAAACCATGAATCATATGTAAACATCCATATATCATAATTTACCATCCATCATCATATCTAACCACCTACAAATCATATTTAACCACCCATGAATCTTATCTATTAACCCAATCATATCTAACCAATCATACTTTACCATTCATTTTTCATCATGTCTAACCACTAACTAATCATTCACATTTCATAACATTCACATATCATGTTTAAACATCTATTCATTACATCTAACCATTATCTAACAAGACTAACATCAAACTTTATCATCCATTGTATCTAACCATCCATCATCACATCTAACATCTATATATCATATATAACACTCATCTATCCATAAACCCAAATCCTCCTTCATATCTAACCATTAATAAATCATATCTAACCATCTTTGTATCATATTTATCAATCCATTTATCCCGTCTAACCATCTATATATCATATCTAACCCTCATATAACCATCAAATCTAATCGGCCATCATTTCTAACCATCCATCAATCACATCAAACCACTGATCATCCATCCATCTATCCACTTTCTCTCAGGAGTCATGTTCATACCTGAAGCTGCGGACAAGTTTGTCAGCGTGAGGTTCGAGCAGCAGGGAACGCAGGACATTTTCTACACAGGCTGTGACATATTTCTCTGGGATGCCCCTCAGTCTGGCATACATGCTCAGGGTTTCCCGCCCTGTCATGTGATCTAGCACCGCATCAAACTGGGGACAGTAGCCAATTCTCTGCTGCACCTGAAGCAAAGTCATATTTAATACAGTGTTAAACCATTTACTTGTACCTACTAGGACTAAACAAATCTAAATATCTCATCTCTAAAAATGAATTTCCACTTAAGGAACTATTTTACATGAAATGGCAATGAGATAACAAAGTACTGAACCTTTTTCACATCCTGGAGGATACTGTAGCCGTCAATAAAGGCATCTCCTGAAGTTATGCTTTCATCTCCTGTCAGCATTTTGAATGTCGTAGTCTTCCCTGCTCCGTTAAATCCCAGTAAACCAAAGCACTCGCCTTTCCCAATGGCCAAAGACAAACGGTCCACCGCTAACAGCGACTGCCAGCCTGAATATACCTAGTGAAACACAACCACAGATTTTAGGAAAAAGGAAAAAAGGGACAAAAACAGTCAACTAAAACTAATTTGTCTGGTAACAGATTTGTTTGGTTACAGAACTTCAGATTTTTTATATGAAGGGGATGCTCTGACCTAATTTTCATGGCATTTCAGTGCAATGTGGCAATTATAATTGTTTTGTAAAAATATGCAAAACCTTTGTAAATCCATCCAGAGCATATGGATGGATGGATGGACAGACTACAACACATCCTCATTGCATAATTGCCAGCAATTTGTTTATTTCTGGAGAATGTTGCTGTATACCAAAAATCCCATTTAGTGGCTTTTGTGAGGCTTCCTTTGATTATGACTTAACCATCTTGAATAAGACTGGACACATTTTGTTGCAGAACTATCTAAAAAATTGCCCCAAATAGCAGAAAGCCATAAAAGGGACCATAAAAAAATTGTTAATCATAGTTAATCAAGAAGCATGACCCTGGGCCAAAATGTGATTTAGAGATTTTAACAGATTTTCTGCATGTTTTATGCACTTTGGCCAATAGGTGGCGTTACCCGACTGGTTTTGTACACTCAGGGAATTGTGGCAATGATACAGTGGAACTGGCATGTCAATACAGTAAAGCACCGCAAAACACATTCTCATAGCATGTTCTGAAGATGATCTGATAATCTTTTGGAGAACTCGACTTTGAAATGTTTGAAAATATAGGTAGAAATTGAAACCTTGAGGTATAACACATTAACATACTGTGGTTTGTGAACAGCATACCTTGCTGAGCTCCTGTAGGATAAGCGGGCTGCCCACCATTGACTCAACCACCGGCTGGCACTCCAAAACTCTCTTCCTCTCCTCCGCAACATCTCTGTCCTCAGGCTGGAGAGCTTCTTCTGCCAACAGCAAAACCTGACAAAAACACACACCCACAGCTGTGCTTGTTAGCATTCAAACCAATAAAATAAGAGCACTATATCCCATGTTTACATTCCTCTCCCACCTTCTTGCGTCTCCTGCAGAGGTTGAGTAGTATGTGGACGCACCGGAGCTCGATGAGGAAAAGCAGGATGATGAAGACAACACCTTGTATGGACATGGCCACCAGGAAGCGGCCCACTCCGGGCTCATCCATGGAAAAGTAGTTCACTTGATACGTGATATCTGCAGATGACCAGCCAAAATGACTATAAGAAAGACTACCCAGTCCACATTAAGTGTGCCACATGATGCTAATCACTCATGCCTGCACTGCTAGCTGCTTTTAAGTGACGTCAGTCACAATGACATCAGTGCTGTTGATTGAGATTTCATTTATGACAATATTCAAAAGATTTACCAGCTAGCGGTGCTGGTCTTACAGCTCTATCGAGACCATAAACACAGTGGATTATTTAATTAGCATAGACACACACAGGCTGACATATTACAGAAAAACAAAATAAATATCCAGGGCTTCACATTTGCATAAGCGAAGTGAAACTCAGCAGGAAACCACATTTCTAATTCATAAGATAATTCCACATCAAATCCACCACAACTAAATGTTTTCCTGTTTTCATGCTTGCTGAAGGTAATGATCGAAAAGTAGTTTGACCAATAACATGCAAGCATTGTACATAATGGACCAATCATGGCGTGCGAGAAGGTGGGATCTACGGTCAAAGCGATGCAATTACGCGTACATATTAGGTGTGTTCGACTTAAAAGCAGTGCGGCTCAGACCGATCAGTGTTCGACATCAAAGTAGTCTTCCAAAAGAGGACGATATCCGCTTCGTCATGCCTAGAGCTGATCCGTGCTGGTCGCTGAGGAAATATAACAACTTTGCGCTGTGGATCGCCGGATCGGCTTTCACCGTGGACGAAGCGGAGTCCAGCCCGGGGTCGTCACATGTGGTTGCCGCAAGCCTCCTTCGCCGAATCCGCCGTTGAATCATGGATGGTTAAAACTATAAAAGTTTTTTATATTTAAAGAGTTTTTATTTTTTACATTTAAAGCGAGTTTTTTGGGCAGTGTAGAGTAGGGCTTGTTGTTTGTCATTTCTCCGATCACAAATGCAGACATGGTTTTATGTTTAATGCAATTACGTGTACATATTAGGTGTGTTCGACTTAAAAGCAGTGCGGCTCAGACCGATCAGTGTTTGACATCAAAGTACCTCGAGAGCGTTTCGAAAGCATAACCGTCTGTATGGTACTTTGATGTCATACACCGATCGGTCTGCACACGCAAACAAAGCCAAAACCTAGATATTTTAGGCAATATATAAATCCTGGGAAAATGGCACGTATGGTCACCCTAACTAAATGACAGGAAAATGTTTACTTAAAGGGGTCATATGATGCGATTTCAATTTTTCCTTTCTCTTTGGAGTGTTACAAGCTCTTGGTGCATAAAGAAGATCTGTAAAGTTGCAAAGACTAAAGTCTCAAATCCAAAGAGATATTCTTTATAAAAGTTAAGAGTCAACCACGCCTACCTAAAACGGCTCGTTCTAACACACCCCACATGTCTACGTCACGATGTGAGAAGATTTGCATAACGCCGCCCAAACGTTCACGCAAAGAAAGAAGGCGTAACTTTTATCCTCGCTGTAGTATTGTTGTTGCCAAATCAGTGGTTAAGTTGTATTTACAACACTGTTCCAGAACAGTTCAACCCAAATATTCAGATGTGTGCAGCACATTTTATGGAGGACTGTTTCCTGATCCTGGTAGAGTAGACTACAATGCCGGCTGTTCTGACTCACAGACTGTGAGTACGTTTTTTATATTTAAAGAGTTTTTATATTTTATTTTTTTATATGTAAGCGAGTTTTTTGGGCAGTGTAGAGTAGGGGTTGTTGTTTGTCATTTCTCCGATCACAAATGCAGACATGGTTTTAGGTTTACACGGCGCGATGCAACACAACGCGTAAAAAGGATGCACTGGATGCAACGTATGCCTCGTTTATAATGGGTTTTCATGTTTTTGAATCATCGCTCCGGCCTGACAGGGCATCATCACAATATGGTAAGGGGCGTAACATTTCCGTCACACGCTTGAGGTATTCGGCCAATCATAACGCACTGGATAGCTGGCCAATCAGAGCACACCTTGCTTTTCAGACCGATGAGCTTTGTAAAAATCGAAGCGTTTCAGAAAGGCGGGGCATAGAGGAGAAACAATAATGTACAGTATGTGGAAAATAATGTGTTTTTTTAACCTTAAACCGCATAAACACATTTCATTACACCAAATACACAAAATAATGTTCTTTTTAGCAACATCATATGACCCCTTTAAAATTTTTCATATCTTATATCTATCATATCTGTCCATCTATACATAACATCTAACCATCCATCCATCTTATCTAATCATCCATTCTTCATAGTTAACCATAATCCATCATATCTAACCATCTATCAAATAACCATTCATACATCATATCTAGCCATTCATCCATCATTTCTAACTATCCATTCTACATAATTAACCATAATCCATCATATCTAACCATCCATTCTTTATAGTTAACATCCATCATATCTAACCAACCATCATTCTAACATCTATATAATATTTAACCATCTGTACATTGTATCCAACCATCTATACATCATATCTAACATCCTTCCATCATTTCCAAACATCCACTCTATTATATCTAACCATCTATATCATATCTAAACATGCATTTACATTTAGTCATTTAGCAGATGCTTTTATCCAAAGCGACTTAATTTAAAAGGGCACATTTTTTAATTAATCTTGCTGCCACGTTCTGGATTAATTGTAAAGGTTTGCCAAGAGAGCATTGCAATAGCCCAGCCTGGACAGAACAAGAGCTTGAACAAGGAGTTGTGAAGCATGTTCCGAAAGAAAGGGCCTGATCTTCTTGATGTTGAATAAAGCAAATCTGCAGGACCGGGCAGTTTTAGCAATGTGGTCTGAGAAAGTCAGCTGATCATCAATCATAACTCCAAGGTTTCTGGCTGTTTTTGAAGGAGTTACGGTTGATGTGCCTAAATGGATGGTGAAATTGTGATGAAACGATGGGTTTGATGGAACCACAAGCAGTTCTGTCTTGGCAAGGTTGAGTTAAAGGTGATGGTCCTTCTTCCAGCAAGAAATGTCAGTTAGATAAGCTGAGATGCGAGCAGCTATCTTCGGATCATCAGTATGGAATGAGAAAAAAGCAGCAGACAGATCTAGTAAGGTAAGTATTGAAGATTTGGAATCCGCTCTTGCCAGTCTCAGGGCTTCAACAAATGAGAGCAAGGCAGTCTCGGTTGAATGTCCACTTCTGAGTCATCTGTCATATTTAACCATCTATCATTTCTAACTATCAATTCTTCATAGTGAACCATCATATCTAACCAGCTATCCATCCATCATACATAACCATCTTTTATTATATATAACTATCCATCATCATGCATCAAATGTAACCATCTATCAATCCATCACATCTAACCAATAATTCCATTATATCTAACTATCTATATCACATTTAATCATCTATACATCATATCTAACCATTTATATATCATATCTAACCATCCATCCATCCATCATATCTAATCATCTATACATCATATCTAACATCCGTCCATCATATCTAACCATCCATTCTTCTTAGTTAACCATCACATCTAACCATCCATGCATCATACATAAACATCTTTCCATTATATCTAATGATCCATCCTATCTAATCAACAATCCATCAAATCTAACCATCTATCCATCACATCTAACCAATAATTCCATTATATCTAGCCATCTATATCAGTGTCAGGAACCACTATATATGAATATATTTACTTGTTTTTCATATGAATATATTTACTTGTTTTTCATGAATATATTTTACAATACAAATTTTTTTACATTTTACCAGATTTTTACCAGATTTAATCCTACACTTATCCACTTTTATTTGTTCCCCACTAAATAATGCTATTTCACTAAATGTTCAGATTTTATAAAATTATTGTGCATTCATGATTTTTCTAGAATAAATTTTATGCTGAATTATACACTAACCCTGTTTATAGTAGTATTTTTGTCATAGAATATGACAATATATATATATTTTTTTGTTTTCATTTGTTATTTTTCATTAAAATGAAGTTGTCTATATTTGGTAGATTGTGTTTAACACAAGAAAAAGTGAGGTCAACAGAAATTCTACATTGATTTAAAAAGCTACAAACTATATTGATTTAAAACTGCACTGGTATTGGATCAGTATCGGCCTACTGACCTAGCATGAGCTCATGATTTTCAGGTCAGGTGGTTTTTCAGGGTGATTATCAGACACTCACTTTTGTACTTGCAAATTATCTCGGCAAAGGTGCTGGAGGTGCAGAAGGTGATGATCTCGTAGTTCTGGTAGAACTCGCTGAAGGACATGCCCAAGCAGTAATTTGGGAAGATCAGGAAGATCTTATCCAGGAGGTGAGACATGTCTACTAGCTTTAGCTCTGAGGGAAGACAACAACAAGAATGCAAGGTGTGTGAACAGACATTCTAGCAAGAATTGAAATGCAAGTGCGGATGTGCGCGTCTCACCAGGTATGGTCATGATGGTGACCGCGAGGAAGGTGGCTGTGCCGCTGAGGATGTTGAAGATGGTGAGGCGCGTGTAGGCGGTGGCAGCCGTGGAAAACAGGAAGCTGAGCAGGTACATGAGGGGAATCACCGCCCAGCCATACAGAAGCAGCAAAAGCAGAACGTCCACCAGGTGGTTCTCGGCCACAAATGCTTTCACTGAAAACACTCGGAAGACCACCTAGACATAACAAAGCGCCCTCATATATCCAATGCATTTAAATCACTATAAGTTTTAGCTTATTTTAAAGCATACTTTGTATTATTTGAAAGCATTTTGCGGCACCCTTGCAACTGTGATGGGGCCTCCAGATTAAGAACCACTGACAGAACCTAGACAGTACATTCATACTGACCAGCATGAGCAGGCAGGGCAACAGGAAGTTGACGAGGTCCCACAGCAGGGCGGAAAACCAGAAGTTGGAGAGGTAGACCCCGCTGACTTGCTGCACATGTTTGGACTTCACCGATCGCTCAGAGACGAGGAGCAGGGCGAAGGTGCTGGCTAATGATGCCATGCCGAACATGAGGTTTATGGCGATGACAAAGCCTGTCTGGCCCCTGTAGAGACAAAAATGAAGATGAAATACCAACTAAACGACTAGGTGTCCCAAGTTAACTTCACTTAGGGTTCTGGGTTTGTTCTGACTCCTCAGGCTGATTTTCGTGATGCATAAACGCTGACAGAATCACGGACAGCACAAAATCAAGACATGATATGGGCTAGTGTCTATGAATATTAAACAGCAAAAGACTGTTACATGAAGTTCAGTTTAACTTGGAAGAAATTATGACAAATATATTACTATTGTACAGTAGAATGTACTTCGTAATAATAAAAACAATATATTAAAACATTACTTTAAGGAATATCACAATTTTTTGTAAATGTTTTTTTTAATTTAAACAGTAAACCTTAAAAGTTAAAAAATAAAAGTTTGTAAAATGGCAATTTGATTATATATTTTTTTTTTTTGCATTAATTTGATTACCACCATTTTTTTTTTATAAAGAATTGTATTAAATCATAAATAAACAGAATCTAGGAAAAGTTTAATATAATTTCTGATATTAAAAAATAAATAAAAGTTTACTTGAAAAATTAAACTAAAATTAAAGAGGATTTTAGATCTCTAATTATCACTCCATAAATCAGAAAATACTGTCAACTGCCAGGAAAAAAAAATAAAAATACATTATCAGTTTTGTATGCATTAAAATGGAAAGTTAGAATTTGGGAAAAAATAAAACAGATTTCATTACTTGGCAAGCACCACTAAATGCTCTCAAAGAGGTTACATACTCAGAAAGCTGGCTCTGGGCCGTCTCGGACATGTTGCGTGGCATGGGGTAATTTCCAGTTTGGATTGAGGCATCGGGTCCAGCTAGTAGTTTGTAGAGAGCATTGTCAACCAGCATGAGTGCCGTAGCGGGGGTGTGATAGCCCTGGTTGTTGAAGTAGCCGATGACCTCAGTGTTCTTCCTGGATCGGCTCCTGAAGGTCGCGCCCACCACGCAGTGCTCATTGAAAGCTCCGCCCTCCCTCATGGCATTATATAGCACGTACTCTGACAAATCTGATCAGACAAACCACAGGTTAGGATGTTTTTGAGGCAGCTACTGTTTATTTATTCATTCGTTTTTTTTATTACCTGTTATATTAGTGGCAGCAATGGCATTCTGGGAAGGCAGCTGTGCTGTGTAGATCTCAGCCAGAGCTGTAGCCAGCGGCCCAGCATTGACATCTACAGCCACGGGTACGTGAGTAGGGCCATATTGTTTTAGCAGCAGACGGAGCAGAGACGTGATTTGGCTTCCAGGGAGGGTGTGGGCCACTACAAGAGCCAACACTGTGAAAATGAGCGGCACCAGAAACTGAGCCACCATCACTTTCCAGTTGCGCCAGCTGTAGAGCGCCCTCTTCAGGAACATAGCATAGAACTGCTGCATATAGAGCCTGGCCTGAGGATAAACACATGCAGAAAATCATGAATGATAAAAATAAACAAACAATCTATCTAAATACACTGAACAAAATTATAAACGCAACACTTTTGTTTTTGCCCCCATTTTTCATGAAATGCATTACAGTTTCCACAAAATATGAAGCAGCACAACCGTTTTCAACATTGATAAAAATATGAAATGTTTCTTGAGCAGCAAATCAGCATATTAGAATGATGTGACACTGAAAACTGGAGTAATGATGCTGACAATTCAGCTGTGCATCACAGGAATAAATTATATGTTATAATATATTCAGATAGTAAACAGTTATTTTAAATTGTAATAATATTTCACAAATAGTAGTTTTTACTGTATTTTTGATCAAATAAATGCAGCCTTGGTGAGCAGAAGACTTTCAAGAACTTTTTTTTTTTCACAAACTTATTTTACCAAACATTATTACCAAAACAATATTGTAACATGATTTTCCCCCAAATAAGTAGCCATTTGTTAGCCATACTGGCATTTTAATTTTAAATTTTGTATTTTATTATATTATTAAATTTTTATAATAATTACATCTATTTTATTTGATATTTATGCTAGAAGAAGAAAAAAAAAAAATCACACAAATCAGGGTATTAAATTAGTTAAAATAAATAAATAAAACATCCACTATTAACATTTAATTTGACCTCCTGAGATGAATGAACATTTTATAAAGGTATAAGCCCTATTTTGATATTCTTGAGGAAAAATACTGGAAAACTTACAGTGGCATTTAGAGGTGCTAGAGAAATAATATACTAACGATAATATTTATGACCATGTGAATAGTGCTTGTCTATACAAGTCTTTGTTAGGATGCCAAGTCACAAGAATCCAGAAGTCTATATAATATTCGGAATCTTTCACTCTCAGTCAGTAAGGTTTAGGTCGACTACTTAGAAAAGTGAATGCAGCTCATTTCTAAAAGCACAGTAAGTTTTCTGTGAGAAGCGCCGAAGTCACTGACCCCAATGTTGAGTTTGATGTTGGAGCCATCCTCTGAGATCATAGTGCCGCTGTCAGTGAAATCCGTCACGTCCGTCATGCCGCTGATGCTGCTGGAGTCGTCCATGGTCCAGTCATGTGACCGCCGCTCATGCTGATACTGCAGAGCCGGAAGCTGGATGGCCTGAATATCCAGACTGGAGTCCACCAGCTTCCCGACCCTGAGAGAGTGAGCACAAAGACACAAATGGTTACATAAATGAGGATCTGCATGAAAGAAAGTGGCCCTTACTGGGACACAGTTGGGCGGCCATTGTATGTGCCTACACAAAAGCGGTTATGTAAAATGTAGAAGGGTTCACAAAAATGACGCTATCAGAATCTGTCAATCTGCACCCCGTCCTACAGCTAATGGCCGTTTAAAGTGGGACAGAAGATTCAGGACTGCACTTGAGCTCTCCAAAACCATTACGAAAAATGTTGTGGAGATGAAAAAGGAGCAGTGGTTAAAAACACTCTTGTGAATGACACACTAGAGACCGAGCGTGTTTCTGCACGGTATGTTTTGAGAGCACAGGTCTGTAATTTAGTCCTGCAAAATCACACTTCTCAGTTCTCTGTAGGGTTGAGAAGTCATGCAAATCAGTCCTTTTGAACGAATCAGTTCGTATATCTAATTCAGCAGTTCTTTAAGTCTCAGAAGACCTCTTTTTCTGAAAGAGCATTTCAAATCTGTGGCGTGAATTTAGACTGGATACGGTCAGTGTTCAAATCTTTCTCAGGGAGCATACTGTTTACACAATGGCTGTTTAAATAGTTTAGCTTTTTTCCAGCAATACAGTTTTCACTTCAATTTCAAGCTTTTTGCATTTCAGCAAACACGCTAATGTAGTTTATTGGTATTGATATGTAAACAAGAAAAGCCCTCATCTGTGCTACGTGATTGAATTTATGCTAATATTAATGTATTTTCTTTTGTTTGTGGCATTATTGAAATGAATACACAGCTTTGGAGCGATTGTGAGATCTAAAAGGAGAGTGAGACAGTGTTGTTATTGGTAATTAAAACTAAAACTATTCAAAATAATTTTTGCTAACTGAAATAAAATAAAGATTTGATGAAAAACTTAAAAAAAGAAACACGAATTAGAGATGCCTTGGCAACTAACTTGAATAAGTTTAAGATGAATAAAATAAAAAAATAAATGTAAGCTATTTAGAAATATAGCTTTAAAAAACAATAAAAGTGACAAGCACAACAAAATGACTAAATATTTAATAATACACTAAATCATTTAATTTACACTACAATTTAAATGAAAATTGAAAATAAAATAAAAAAATATATATATTAAATGTTATATATACAGTATATAAATAATACAAGGAAAAAATACAAATCTGTGGGAACAGGTCACAGCACACAGTATCTTTAGAGATTCTTCATTATTTGTGGTGGTCTCGTGGTGAAGTACCTGAGAAAAACCTCCTCCATAGTGGTAACGGACGCCCCATAGCTGGCGATGCCCAACTCGTCTCGATTCATCTCCAGCTCAGCAAACAGCAGCTCAAACCTGCCGAGAAACAACACAGTAATAACTCAAACCTGAACACGTATGAATATCAATAACTGAAATCACTTCTGCCAAAACCATCCACATATATTCATCTTAATGCTATTTTTTGTTAGTTAAAAATGCAAACTTATTATTCTAATGTCACTGAAAACTTGTATGAAGCACCTCAAAAATAGTCAATATATTATTAATAAGCTAGATCAGAAGTCTACTAATACCCTTTGATAGCGCTGTAAAATAGTTGTCAGCATTTGCAAAATATGAACAATTATGGACTACTTTTAGAATATATTTATGGTACTTTTGCCAATTTTTGGAGCTTGATCAACTTTATAAAATGCTTTTTTAGTTCAATGCAATACATTTATATTTTTGTTAATATTTTGAATGAAATCATTTTATATTTTCTGTTTTCATGTTAAAGTTTTAGCAATTTTATTGTGTTTTTGGTAATTTTTTAATTATTTTTAGTCTATATAGTTTTTATAAAGTTTCAGTTTATAGTTTGGGTAATTTTTAAATTATATATATATTATTATATACTTTTTAAATATTACATATATTCAACATTTTATTTCAGTTGATGTTTATTTTTATTTCAAGTCATTTTTTTAAGATTTTAGTTTTAGTGAACAACATAACCCTGGTTCCATTAAAATAATATTTTGGATAATTTAAGGAACATAAGGACAATTAAAAATAATATAAATTCACTTCTGTCAGGACCACCATCGTCAAAATGATAGATACTTAGCATAAAGTTTGGTTTGGCGGTATGGTTCTGTTCTGGGCAAAAACCTCCCTGCCCATCCATGCAGCCTGTCATGAATGAGCAGGGAGAGCAGCAATAATAACCCCCCTAGGGTTAACAGAACAGAACAAGGCAGATATCATTAATGTACTTAATGATATTTAAGTGTAACACTTTATTCAAGATAAAGGAGTCTGATTAGCAAGGAATATCAGAAAGCCAAGTCCTGACTGTGGCGAAAGGAGGAGCTGGGGATGGAGGAGGGTAATTTGCTCCTGAGCAAGCTGAAAAGCTGCAGAATAATACTGAATAGAGCTTATATAGGAATGCCGCGATAGGTGTCGTATTCCTATAGGTAGATGTGATCAGCTGAGAATCAGCTGATGCAAGCTTGACTCACGTGACCTGCTAGAACTAACGCTAAAGCTTAATTTTTCAGATGCACTATTTCTTTGAAGAAGTGCTTTAAGGATGTTTGTCTCTCACTGACGGTGGTTTAGTGAATCAGGGACAAGAAACACACATGTCTGATGAACAGCGCAGACTGTTGTTTCGAGACCTTCACTAAAAAACAGATCAATGGGTAAATTTAGTCTGTCTGTTGCTACGTCAGCTCACAAGAACCAGACCAAAGAACCAAGACCAAAGTCTCATGTGCTTCATTTATCTGGATACATCAAACCATTTTTTATAAGTCATTGTCTCTTGTAAGAGTTTGTGCAATCAAGGTTATTGATTAAAGGCAATGAGGATGAGACCTTGATGTTTGCATTCCTGTCAAGTCTAACATGTAATCTCTTCAAATCAGATGTTTTTGTAGTATGCAGCATTGTTGCCAGTATGCAGACTTCTTCATGCACTGAAAAACTGGATGACCAACTACTTTTCGCTGCATTAAACATGCAACATAATAAGTGGACAATGTTTCTTACTACTGTTTGAAATGCATTGCATAAATCATTTGGTTTCACTATTTTAAACACAGTGCACAGTACACTGTGCAGTAGATATGTGAAGTCAGTGTTGTCTTACCGGCTGGTGCTCTCTTTGGGCAGTATGTAGGAGAGTTCAGCGCCTGCACTGCTCTCTAGAGTGGCATCAGGCACATACATGTGCACTAGACGGGTGATCTCAGACACGTTACAAAACGCGTCCTTTACTATAACCATGTGGTAACCAGCACCTGTAGAAATACAAGATTAAATCAGATAAATATTGTTTTTGGAGACTACTAGCTAGAAGCAAAGTTCTTATTGGAGCAAAACACTACTTTTAAAGGGGTCATGAACTGCTGTTTTTATTATTATTATTTAATAATGTTCTCTCAGGTCCACTTATAGTGTAAACAAGATTTGTACATCAAAAAGCATCAGAATTGAGCAGTAATAGGCTATTTTGTGTCCTGTTTTTGACCCTTTCTGCAGAACAGTCTGTTTTTTATAGGCGAGGCGCATTCAAGTAAATGGAGGTAAATGCCAACTGCTATGATTGGTTTTGCATATTAAAATAATAGATGGGCTGGCGCCAGTGCCCTCATGGTTAGTGCGCATATATACAGCGCAACTGCACTCGCAGCAACCCGAGTTCGAATCCCATCTCGTGGTCCTTTGCCAATCCCGTTCCCCTCTCTCTCTACCCAGTGATTTCCTGTCTGCTCTCTACTGTCCTGTCCGAATAAAGGCATAAAAAGCCCATAAATATAACTTAAAGGGATAGTTCACCCAAAAATTAAAATTTGATGTTTATCTGCTTACCCCCAGGGCATCCAAAATGTAGGTGACTTTGTTTCTTCAGTAGAACACAAACGAAGATTTTTAACTCAAACCGTTGCAGTCTGTCAGTCTTACAATGGCAGTCAATGGGCTCCACGGCTTTGAGAATAAAAAAAACATACACAGACAAAACCAAATTAAACCCTGCGGCTCCTATGGTCACTAAGCACTAAGATACGTTCCAATATGGCGGAAGCGTCAACGTATCTGGAGCGGTCGAATAGGGCATCTATACATATCTATGATAGTAGACGCATGTGCGGAAGCGATCTGTCGCGCATATACGTCACTCATTATTTATACAGTGCAGAGAGATTGCGGACGTGTTCACTGGTACTGCGATGATCTAAAGATATTTAGAAGTACAGGTCATCACAATGGAAGACGATTTTGATATATCATCAGACAACGTTGAATTTTTTGCCCAACCGTATTTATTTGACATCATGCGCCGGATGTTGTGAACGCGTTCAGGACAGTTGGACATTGTGGTGGATCAGAGGTAAAAAATTATATAAATACTGTTCAGTTTCTTGCACAGACCGATCGTTTCGTGCCTTAAGACCTCAGTGTATCGTCACGAGCCGCAGGGTTTAATTTGGTTTTGTCTGTGTATGTTTTTTTTACTCTCGAAGCCGTGGAGCCCATTGACTGCCATTGTAAGACTGACAGACTGCAACGGTTTGAGTTAAAAATCTTCGTTTGTGTTCTACTGAAGAAACAAAGTCACCTACATCTTGGATGCCCTGGGGGTAAGCAGATAAACATCAAATTTTCATTTTTGGGTGAACTATCCCTTTAAAAAATAATAATAATGGATGGATGCTGCTGTGATGTACCCTGAAAACAACAAGGGTCATTTGGGTTAAGTATACATAAGTGTACATATCAAACGATCTAGAAAAGACAGCGTAATAGTGGTAACTCACACTTATGTGTTGCGAGAGTGCCAAAGCGCAACTAAAGACAACAGAAATATAATTGTCAAATTTGAAATATAATCATCTGCACAAACGTCCTGTGAGACCATCTTTCTGTTCCTGTCATGATCTTGCAGCGGTCTCACCGTATTTGTTCTTGAGGAAGAGAGACGAGCCGCAGCACTGGAGCTCTCCGCTGGCCATAATGGCGATCCGATCTCCCAGCAGGTCGGCCTCGTCCATGAAGTGCGTGGTGAGCAGGATGGTGCGGCCGCGCTTCTCGCCCTGCAGCAGGTCCCAGGTGGCCCGGCGGGCTGAGGGGTCCATTCCTGAGGTGGGTTCGTCCAGCATCACCACCTACAGGGAAATAAACAAAAGCACATGGACTGTGTTAGCATTAGAGTGGCTAACGCTAATGGGAAACTTTTATGTAATGATGGAAAATCCAAACTGGACCAACATGGAAATTAATAAACAGAACACAAATGCAAAAACATCTGCTAAACATAAAATGTACCGTGAAATACACCTGACCTTTGAGTCTCCAATTAAAGCAATGCCGATGGAAAGCTTCCTCTTCATCCCGCCAGAGAGGGTTTTGGATCGCGCATGACGCTTATCCTCCAAATTCAGGATCCGAAGGATGCGGTCCACCTCATCAGGGATCTTTTTGCGAGGATAACCCTTCAGCTGAAGAGAAGAGACAAGATATGTGAAGATCCATCTGAACACTGTTTATGGATTGTATATGCTTTTGTTGTCCAACATTATTTCAACTTTTTCAAATTCCTGGTGAACAACTACATTACTACATTTACAGAGGAATCTCCACCAATCAGAGAATCGCAACAAGCAAATCTCCCAATGCTCTCGAACTACTTATATATGTGTATATTTACTTGTATATGCATATTGTGCAACAAACTTTTAAAAAAGCATTGTTTCTATATTAGTAACTTTAAATGAATCATTTTGTATTTCTCCATTGTTTTTTAATTTGAATTTCATCCACAATGCTTCATGGGTTTATAATTCTTTCCCTCATTAAAGCTGTGAAGTACACAGTCTTCTTTGTCTTGTTGTCCAATTTTCACATAGCTTTCTGCTTCAAATCAAAGTTTGATTCACCTCACAGCTGGCAAGGTTATAATAATTAGGCTAAAACTAGAACCATTAAAAAAAAGACTTTCACAACTATATAAAAAAACTTAGTTGCTAGTGAAATATTTCTTATTTATTTAGATTAACTTGATTCATTAAAATAACTAAAACCTGAAAATAAAAATGAATAAAACCATCTAGACATATAGAGAAAAAAAAGACCTAATAAAATAACAAAACCCAACAAAGTTTACTAAAAAGTTTACTAAACTTGAACTAAAACCATAAAAACCATTCGTTACTTAAAATAAACTTTAACTGAAATGATATAAAAAAAAACGTATAATATAAAACATAAAACACTGTTCTAAAATAACTAAAACAAAAACTGAAATAAAATAAAACATATAGCCATATAGACAAAAAAAAACTACACTAAAATAACTAAAAACTGAATTTTATAGAATATTACTTTAACTAAAATTAAAACGAAAAAAAATCAAATCTAAAAATAAAAACTAATTCAAAACACACAAACAAAAACTACTGTCTCTCAGTGATACCAAAATAACACTGGTACCTGGTTGGTTTGGTTTGATGACTTTTAACTCTTTAATTAAGTCTTTTAAAAATCCATATGGAAAAAAGGAACAGAAAAAAAATACTTTTGGAACTGATAATGATAAGGAAGTCACTGATAATGAAGGTGGGAACTGTTGCACTTTATTACAAATAAAGTTTTCAACTAAAAGAGCACGTAGAGCATTTTATCAGAAAAATGGATAATGTAGATGAGCTGGGTATCTATGCAGACGTCCTCGGTCTGCTTCTACCTGTGTGTAGAAGAGCAGGTGCTCTCGGACGGTGAGGTTGTCGAAGAGCACGTCGTGCTGCGGACACAGACCCAGGCTGCGGCGGATCAGAGCCATGTCCTGACATATGTCGTAACCGTTAATGTACGCACGGCCGCTGCTGGGTGGGAAAAGGCCTGAGAATGAAGAGACAAAGAGAGTTTGAATGATGTAAAGAAGCGATCAACTCTGACTGACCTCCGTTATCACTGTTTACAGTTACAGCTGAATCAGTGGTATAGCTGCGAGCTATAAGAGATAACGTTTAGCTTGGCAAGAATGAATGTGTGCGATCAGAGGCCTGTATTTAGTTAATAAATGTGCAGATCTAAAGACTTTTGTAAGTTGTTCTGGATAAGAACATTTGCTAAATGACTTGGATATGAATGAAGCAGTCAGGCTACAAGCTAATTTCAAAGTAAATGAATGCTACACTTGCTTGTAGCACTACAAGCTGCTAACACAAAAAGTAGCTAAACTGTGAAGGTATTTAAGGGGACAATATCTTTTTAAAATATAACTTATAATCAGTTTATATACAGTGTTGTGTAGTTACAGTACTTTCAAACTAGCTACAAGCTAATCATAAACTGAAACTACATAACCTTGTAGCTATATTACAAGCTGCTAACAAAGAATAGCTAAACTGTTATAGTTTTTAAGGGGAAAATATATTTTTTTAAATATACATATAATCAGTTAAATGTTATGAAGCTACATTCAAACTAGCTTAAAGCTAATCATAATTTCAGGTATATTAAAAGCTAGACTAGCTTGTAGCTATATATATATATTATTATTTTTTTTACCTTTATTTAACCAGGAAGTCTCATTGAGATTTAAAATCTCTTTTTCAAGAGAGACCTGGTCAAGGTAGCAGCCATACAGTAAGACAATTTTAAAATACAAGAAGTACACATTACAACCATATTTAAACATCCTCTCAACAAAAACAATCACAAGCTTCCAATACCACTTTCTTTATGATGCCTTTAAATTCACCAATAGACACAAATTTATCTAGTTTTAGATCTTTTTGTAAATTAATATGAAAATGCAGTTTTCCCCAGTTCTGTACAAACTCGAGGTACGTTAAAAAGCAAACACTTGGAAGAGCGTAGCTGGTAATTGCCAGAACAAAGACAAAGAAGAGTACAGAGATAAGCTGGAAGTTTACCTAGCATTGCTTTATAGATGCAAATGTACCAATGCCGTTTTCTATGTATAGCTAATGATGTCCAACCCACCATCTCATATAGAATGCAATGATGAGTACGGGATTTTGCATTTGTAATAAAACGTAGTGAAGCATGGTATACCGAATCAAGGCTTGTTAAGATAGAGAAGGCCGCATGCATGTATAATATATCACCATAATCAAGCACAGTTAGGAATGTAGCGTCTACAAGTTTCTTTTTGGCATTAAAAGTAAAATTAGATTTATTTCTAAAATAAAAGCCAAGCTTTAGTTTGAGTTTCCTGATTAGATTAGCAATATGTACATTGAACAAAAGTTTATCATCAATCCAAATGCCCAAGTACTTGTAAGAAGGTACTCTTTCAATAATATACAAGCTATACAAGCTGCTAACAAAGTAGCTAAACTATGAAAATATTTAAGGGGTCAATCAATATAAAAAAAATATATATATATATAAAAAAACTACTTATAATCAGTTTATATACAAGTTGTGAAGCTACTTTTAAAATAGCTACAAATTCCTCAATTTAATGCAGTTAAACAGTCAAGATACTATTTTTAAAAAGAATATAGCTACATTACATAATAAGCTACTAACAAAGTGGCTAACTACATATTTAAGATGACATTCGACTTAATATCAGATTACATGATTCACTTCTGTTTTCAACTGCCACAAGATTTACACTATAACACTTAAAAAGTGTTAAAAATATAATTGAACTGAATCATAAACATTCCACCACAAAACTGATGATATACAATATCATGTAGGATGTTACAAGAACACAAAACGGATATGGTTCAAATGAATCATTTGTTGAACCAGTTCATTAAAACCCTTCAAACAAACTGACTCGCTAAAATGAATCACATTTCCTAAAGCAATATGAGAGGGACAGTCACACTATTTTATACATAAAACGACATTGCGGTGTTCATTACCTGTCAGCATTGATAGTGTGGTGGTCTTTCCCGCTCCGTTGTGACCCAGCAGGACAGTGATCTGGCCTTCGAACATGTTGAGCGTTAAATCCCTCACTGCCTCCTTGGTCTTATTTCCCACTTTGAACACCTGCGACAGAAGGATCCACATGTTCACTTTCTCCAACAGTTTCTACAGGTGATCCATGTGTCGTCACACTGACCTTGAGTCTACCATCTGTCCCCTATGAATCTAATATTATTAAAGGGGTCATACAGGGGTTAAAGCAAAAAAAAAATTTTCCTCAGCCAAACCCCATTCCACAACCATACCTGTCACACACCCAGTTTAAGAGCATTTTTTTCTTGTAATTAGGAGCGCTTGTCCTTCTAATTCAAAAAATTTAGGAGCACCTTCTGATCAATAATAAAAAATTCTGATAAAAAATTTGCCTCAACTCACCTCAACCTTTATTTATAAAGCACTTTCAAAACCATAAAAATGGACCAAAGTGCTGTAAATAGAGAGAGAGAGAGAGA